TTTAAGTTGGGAAAGAACATGTTGGACTACATTATCAATCAAAGAACTGCGACGAAAAACGAGTTGTGGCCATTGTTCAGGTTAGACAAAGCTCACAGGTTAGTTTGGAAATCTGATTGAACCAAAGACACCTTGAACACACCAAGACCACGCCATTTTATTGCCTGAAGGGATCATTCATTTGTTGAACGTGTAAATGTTAGCTATTCGTTTTTCGTTGCGTGACTCGCGTCATTTCCGTTTCTATTTTTAATCATCTGAAGCTTCTTTGTATTTTGCGTGTGTCGGATCAGTTTTCAGTGTCACATAGAGAATTGTACGGATCGAAAGTAAGAAAGACGCGTGTGCCATTAAGATATTTCTATCGGAGAAAGAGTTTTTACAGGAATTTCAAGTATAATAAACAAGTTAGAATCGATGCTCGGGATTCTCTGTCTATAAAACGTTTCTCCGACGGCGATGTTGATCTGAATATTTGAGCTGATCTGAAAGAAACCCGATGTCAATATCCGCCCCCGTTACAGTAAAAACTCTGGGGTAGAAACTCAGCGGAGGAAACACGTCGCATTGCAATTGAACACTGAACACTCCGATGTCTGAAATGGAAGATTCTGAAGATTCCTTGTCGATCAGATTTTGAAATCGTACAGAAAGGGGAAGAATGTATCACCTTAATTTACTCGAGGAACAAAGATCTTCCGCTCAGCGCGTGGCGCAAACAAATAAACAAAGTTACAAATCTGATAGGAGATTCAACGAACATCGATCTCCTAAAGAGCGAGAGAACATTCCTCGAGACGAGAATGGATATTCTATACGCGGCAAGTAATCGACTCTGCGAAGCGCTAGCAGATAATTACGAAGCAAAAACGGAGGCGGTGGCGCAATTAGAATCACTGGAGCGTGAGCATTCAGACACGCTGAGAAGATTAAATAACAAACTTTCGGATCTTAGACAAGATGTAAGCGAACGCTCTTCATGGTCAAAACATTCCAGCCGAGGTTGTCGAAGCCTTAAATCCGAGAAATCATCTATCGCATCTTCGCTATCACAAAGAGCGGATATGGCTGCAAATGTTGCAAGACTTAAAACTCAGTTGGAATTTGCGGACGCCGAAGCACGGAAAACAACTATTTTGGAGTGCGAGGACGAACTTAAATGATTTAGACTAAGCAAGGAGCTGGCAGTCGCCAAAGCCGAAATGGAAGCGGTCAACGTAGCCGATGAAAGGAAAATTGAGAAGGACAATCGCGAGGAAGATCAGTTTCTCCCGCAAGAAACCGACAGGAATTACGTTCTCCAAAATTATTTGAAGACTCGTGATCAAATGTCATCGGTGACAGACGCCAGCCTTCCGACCGTTGAAACGTATGTTGAATCTGTTTTGGATCGCGAGAGTCCCGAAACGAGACGGACTTTGATAAAGGAGGAACTCTGGACTTCTCCTTTTAAAGTGAGATCTACCGAAGATACGAATTCTAGACCGGTGTTACGTCCCGACTCATCACCGAATCCGTTCGCACCTCCGAAGTCTACAGGTCTTCGATCGTCGCTGAATCCTTTAGTAGCCGAGTTTGAGACAAGTCCCTACAGAGTTCCGCGCACGCGTGTTGACGCTAAAATCCCTGTAAGCGATACAGCCAAGACCGGAATCACAGCAGACAATCCAAGAGCCAGTCTTCCCCTGAACAGTTCGTCCGTCGAAGATTCACTGCATCGTTTAGCCGATGTGCTTTGTCAGCGACGTCTTCAAGACATGCTTCCTCTCCCAGAACCAGAGATCTTCGGCGGCCATTTACTGACTATCCCCTGTGGTTGAAGTCTTTCGAAACCATCATAGAAGGCCAGACAGACAAGGTTTCCCAAAGACTGTACTACCTCGGGAAGTATACAAGAGGCGAACCACGAGAGGCGATCAGCGGCCTCCTGTTACTGGAAACTGCCGACGCATACCGACGAGCAAAGAAGATCTTAGCAGAGAGATTCGGCAACCCATTTCTGGTGGCAGACGCCTACAGAAAGAAAATTAACGAATGGCCAAAAATCCCTCCAAATGACGGAACAAGCCTACGCAGATTTTCGGACTTCCTCGTCCACTGCCAAACGGCGACAAAGACCATCAAATACCTAAAGGTGCTTGACGACCCGGATGAAAACCAGAAGATGCTCCAAAAGCTTCCGCGCTACTTGATAGATCGATGGAGTCGCGAAGTTGATCGCTGGCTCAACAAAGAAGGAGAAGAGCAGAATCGTGGCGAAGAAAGCGTACCCGATGGGGATGGAACAGCCTACCCCCCTTTCAAAGCCTTCTGCAGGTTCCTCGAAAGAGAAGCAAGAATTGCGTGCAATCCGGTAACGACAAGGCCTCATAAGGAAGAAGCCTCAAGACAAGACGCAGAGAGAGCATGGAAGTCGAATAGTTACAGAAAGAAATCGGCCAAGGTTAGCACTTTCGCTACTGGTTCTGGTGAAGTGAAAACCAGCGCTTCCGACAGTTAGAGGGAGAATAAACCTGAAGCTGTCACGTGTCCGCTGTGCAAGGGTCCTCACGACTTGGACGCATGTAAAAGTTTTCTAAGTATGTCCCTGGCAGAAAGAAGAGATGTCATCAGATCGAAGGCACTGTGCCTGGGCTGCTTAAAATGGGGTCACATGAGAAAGGACTGTCGAAGAAGGCGAGTATGCAAAACCTGCAATGGAATTCATCCAACCTCCCTTCACAGTGATCCTGCCAAGATACCCGAGCAAGACAAAGCGGTAACGAATGCAACCGAAGTAACGAATGTAACCGAAGTCATCTCAAACCGTGCGAAGGTCTGCGACACGAAGAAAACAACTGCACCTTGCATGCACTCGTTAATAGTACCCGTATGGGTTCATCACAGTAAGGATGCTCAGAACAAATTGCTGATCTACGCTCTCCTGGATGAACAATCTGACGCTTGTTTTGTAAACGAAGACGTTCTGCGAAAGCTGGATTTGAACGGACCAGAGGTAGACCTAAAGATTTCGACGGTCCTAGCAGAGGAAGTGGTTACAAGTCAGAAGATCGAAGGCCTGGTTGTGCGTGGTTACAATGAAGAGGGTGAAATCCCTTTACCCAAGACCTACTCAAGATCCACCATACCGGCTAAAAGGAGTCAGATTCCAAGGCCCAAATCCACCCATGGTTGGCCACATCTCCAAATGGTATCTGAGAAGCTGATGCCCTTCCGTAGTGACGTTGAGGTCGGCCTCCTTATCGGTCTCAACTGTCCTCGTGCGATTAAACTGCTTGAAGTTGTTCCCGGAGTAGAAGATGACCCGTACGCTACGCGAACCGCTCTTGGATGGGGAATCATTGGTGCAGTAAACCCTCTAACACATGAAGATGAGGCTGAAACCGAGAGTGACATTTTCTGCAATGGCATTATCACCCGAGAAGTCCAAGTAGACTCAAGTAGGAAGATGTGTCACTTTGCGTTAAGGACAGAAGTGAAAGAGCTGCTCAACCCGCACGATGTTGCTAAGATGTTCACACTTGACTTCAATGAAAGACGAACCGAAGAGAAGTCGCTATCCTTCGAAGATCGGAAGTTCCTCAAAATAGTACGAGACGGTGTTCATCAGCGAGATGATGGCCACTACGAGATGCCTCTGCCTCTGAAGAAAGAAGACGTGGAACTGCCAAAGAGTAAGGAATTGGCCCTGAGCCGCCTACTAAAGTTGAAACGGAGATTGACTAACGATGACCAATTCCCAAGAGATCACAGTGGCTTCATGCAAGACATCATAACTAGTGGATATGCAGAACGAGTTCCCACAGACGAACCATCCTCAGACAACAAGCGAGTATGGTACATTCCACACCACGGAGTTTATCACAAGAAGAAGCCTGGGAAGATCAGAGTCGTGCTCGACTGCAGCGCAGTATGTGACGGACAGTCCCTAAACCAGCAGCTATTGCAAGGTCCAGATCTCACGAACAATCTCACAGGAGTACTATCCCGATTTCGTCAAGAGCGAGTAGCCTTTATGTGCGACATCCAGGCGATGTTTCATCAAGTCAAAGTCGACGAGAACCATCGTGATTACCTGAGATTCTTGTGGTGCGATAACGAAGAATTCAAGGGAGATCCAGTAGAGTACCGTATGACTGTCCACCTTTTTGGCGCTACTTCCTCGCCCGGCTGTGCAAACTTCGCTCTCAAGACCACTGCTGACCAGTACCAAGAAGATTGCGGCACCAAGGCAGCAGATTTCATGAGAAAGGATTTCTACGTGGATGACGGACTCAAGTCGGTGCCAACCGTTGAACAAGCAAAGAACCTGATCAGAAATACCAAGTCACTGTGCCAGAAAGGTGGTTTCCGTCTTCACAAGTTTACATCGAATAGCAAGGAGGTGATAAATTCCGTTCCCTCAGAAGATCAAGCGAAGGACACAAAGGATCCTCGCCTTGTCAGTAGTGATCCAGTCATCGAACGCGCTCTGGGAGTCCACTGGTGCATCGAATCAGACACGCTCCAGTTCAGAATCGAGTTGAAGGACAAACCATTAAATAACAAAAAATTATAATAATAAATTCGTTATTATGTTGAAACGTAACTCTTTTAAAGTTCATTCAAACACTCGATTACACTGACAGCTCGCACTAGAAACGAGAACCGGCCGGCCTAATGAGTGATTTTGGAAATTTTTTTGAACGGTTTCGCTAAAAGCCCACGATTGATCGTCCTGAACATTGAATGAGTGCAATTTGTGTTGAAAAATTGTGAAATACCGTATTCTGTCCGAGGTCTGTATGATAAATTGTACGTACTGTTTCACCTCAGATGTGATGTATAAAAAGTATAAAAGGTTGGTTTACACACCCCCAGATTTGTTGGCAAGAATTTGTAAAGTAAACCTGTCGAACGCAAAAAAATTCAGCCTGATTTGTTTTCCTAGAATTTGTTTTCGAGCCCTTATCTACAGCTGTGATCAAGAGCCATTATGGCTCTTGAATGTGATCGAAGATGTTTGCTATTTTTTGGGTGTACATATAAGGCTATCAACTCAATGTAAGATGTTTCACTCTAAAATAACTTAGCCTTTCCCTCAAAAGTCACATGAATGTGCCCTCAAGTTAACTGATTTGTGGATCTCAAGTTTATTGTTTGATTTAAATGATAAATTTATTAATGGGAGCTTCGCTTTTAGCCCTGGCTAAATCTATATATTAAGGTCAATGCTCACGATTATTATTTTCTTGGAGTGCTTGCAAGGGCTGCACTTTCCTAGTTGCTAGGCCGTCCATTTGCAAGGGCTTTGGACGCTCATGCTTGTCAAATTTCTTTTGTTGCATTGTAGCTGCTTAGTGTTTTTACATTTTCATGAGTAATTGTTACGTAATCCTCTACAACTGGCGGGGAGTTGTACAGGATTGCTTTTTGGAGATGCTGGCAGGGGCTGCATTTCCCTAGCTTTGGTCTATTCTATTGTGCAAGGGCCATGTTTGACCACACTTTTTGTGGCTTTTAATTCTGTTGTAATTCGTCACCACTGTAACCTTTCATTCTAATGAGATGCATTTCCTGGGGTGGGGCTGCAATGTCATTTCCATTCCATTGCATTTGGCGTTTTTTGTGCCCTCACCTTTACTGGGCTGATATTTAAAGTATGTTTTTCAGAAAATAGAATGTTGATATTGAAATAAAGGCGGCTTTGGGCTTTTGCCCTTAGCCATTTTACTCCATACGGTGCATCTCTTTGATAATGAGCCCACTAAAAGAGCTCAGGCAATGCACCTCATTAATTGATATGTTTGAGAGGGAAGGAAGGCATAAATGGAATATTTGCTTGCAAATAGGATTTTTATGCCTTTTTGCCGAACTGTTGTTTAGTATATCTTTTCTATGAATGTGTGACGCTGAAAAGAAGGTTGGTGTGACAACATCCGGGACGAATTAGATGGGTTAGGATGGGACATTTTTAGCATATTGTCCCTCTAGGGAGTTGAGCTCGTATGAAATCGAGGCGAGTATCGATTACAGATCATTCTTTCACACTTTCATCGAGTGAAGACGCTTTTCATTTTTACCCACCTCCCCCCCTTTTCCCAACCTCTCTGATACGTATACTTGTCGACCTTATACATAACTATACATAATTTTGTATAAGTATACATAATTTTGTTTTGGCGTTTTTTGTGCCCTAACCTTCACTGGGTTGATATTTAAAGTATGTTTTTCAGAAAATAGAATGTTGATATTGAAATAAAGGCGGCTTTGGGCTTTTGCCCCCAGCCATTTTACTCCATATGGTGTATCTCTTTGATAATGAGCCCAGTAAACGAGCTCAGGCAATGCATCTCATTAATTGATATGTTTGAGAGGGAAGGAAGGCATAAAATTGAAAAAAGTAGAACCCACAAGAGTTTTGTGCCACCCGGTAGTCACCTCAAGGTTAGAGAGCAGCAGTGGAAACTCCTAACACCAGGGAAAAAGGTGTCGAAAATTTCTGCAGTAGATAAGGGGGTGCCAAAGGCTATGGCGTTCATGAAGAAGACAACCTTAAACAGGCAAGTGAAGCTAGCATCTGTGAAGATGAAAAAGAATTAACCAGACTTCCACCACAGAAACCCTCTACAGAATTTAAAAATCACCTGGTAAAACAGGAGACTATTTGGAGTAAGGAGGATGTAACCAAGGTGTCTGGAGCAGAATCAATGTTTGCCGTTATTCCCTTAAGTAACCCCTTAGGACCACATATTGTGAGCTGTAATAGAGAAAAAAGTGTGACTGTGAGTGATACGGGCTAAAGCAGATCTGCTCACATTACATTGCCATCAGTAGCATTCAACACACTCTCGAAGAAACTATCACATTGGGTCTGAAATTTGTCAAAACTGATGCAAGACTCGATTCCTAAAAGATCAGGAATAATGCCAGGACCCTGTAGAAATCATCCTACATGAGTACCAGAGAAACACGATATGAGTTACTTCAAAGATGGATGCAAAGGTGTTTAACCCTCAGATCCCGAACCATTTTGCTTAAAATAGCTAAAAGACTCTCAAGTAACTACATGCTACAGATGTGGAAATAACATTCGTCAAACCACTGACGACCCAGTTTCGCCAGGTCCTTGTGATGTTGCTATTTTTAGAAAGCAAGCCTGCGAGTATACAACAAGAGCCCTGGCTGGTCTTCAGTTGACAGTAAAACCAGAAAACATATGTGAGGGAAGCTTGTATCGCTATGAAGTGCTCGATTCAGTTCCTAACGTGGTTAAGATAAGAATTAAGTTTGAGTTCAATCTCCAGCATAGACTAAGGCAAATGATAAAAAAGTATCATCAGCATAAAATGTAACCAAGCAGCTGTGACGTATTATGCCATCATACATCACATGTAAATTGGTTGAATACTTACATACCCGGATGTAAGCACATGTTTGCGGGTTAAAGGCTGTTGGCTGTGAGTTGTGTTGTACTTCGACTGTTATGCTGCATCGCCGTTAGTTTAGTAGACTCCCACA